GTTGTCAATTAGTACTATGATTTACTGATAATTCTTTTTATTTGTAAGTAAAATGTTTTAGGTTTGATTCTTGCCAAAAAAGAATTTTAACCGCATTATTACTATTTATTGTGAAACTTAATCCACTTCTCCATCTTAGTATGAATAATATCGTTAAATAAAAATATAAAACATATCATCCATCCTCGTGTCTTTAAGGTCAAACAATAGTCGTTTTATATGAACCGTATTATTGCTAGTTTATTGTGAAGCTTAATCCACTTATTCACCTTAGTGTGAATAATATCGTTAAATAAAAATATAAAACATATCATCCATCCTCGTGTCTTTAAGGTCAAACAGTAGTCGTTTTATATGATTTTAACGTGTGTAGGATAGGTAACTAGGTGTAGGGAGCGTGCACGTATTAGTCATTGTATCCAGCGCATAAGGGAAGATAAACCAAAGTTTAAATCATGTTTATCAAATAATGAGGTGTGTTTGGGGGAATCCGGATCCTCTTTGTAAGGATTCCAGATATTCGTTAATCATATCCGTTCATCGTACATCATGCGGTCAGAAATCATTTTAAATATTTTTATTTAAAATTAAATACAAATAGTATCTGATAAAAACTGACAGCACGATATATGATGAACGGACACGATTTACGGATCTCCAAGATCCTACCAAAATGATTCGGAGAGGATCCTGTTGGTGTTTGGGGAATAAGGATCATCTCCGGATCCTCTTTGTGAATATTCTGAAACTCCTTTAATCGTGTTCATCATTGTACATCGTGCGGTCATAAATTATTTTAAATTTTGTATTTAAAATTGAACACAAATAGTACTTAACAAAAACTGATTGCACAATTTACGATGAATAGGTACGATTAAAGGATCCAATAATTCATCACAAAGATGATCTAGAGAGGATCCTCATTCGTGTTTGGGTGGTTTAGCTCATGTACTTGTTAACATGCCCATATCCCATCATCATTTATGTATATTAATATTTTATTACATTAAAACAGGAAGACCCTTACAATATTATCTATAGTAAGGAATGGGAGAGTAGGCTAAGCCTCATAATGGGCTACCAATAATGTGATTCAATTTGTTTTTGACGAAAATCGAATCTAAAATCTCTTATTTATAATTGAAGAGGAATATCACTAGAATTGGCAAATGCAATCCATTAGTTTGTCTATTAAATCCTCAATTAAGGTTGTATGCGACTCAATCTTAGTCAGTCTCTTCCAATCCCAATTTAGTATATTTTTATGTGAATATCCTACTTATTACATAGGAGGCAGATTCTTTGCCCTCCTACTTCCCGTGTCCTCCTGTTTGTGTGATCACGGTTAAGCCACGTCAACATTTTATATTATCATTCCTTTTTGACTTATTATCTCTATAAAAAAAAACAATGTTGATGTGGCTTAACCGTGACCACACAAAACAAAAGGGCACGAAAAGTGAAAGGGTAGAAAATCCACCTCCTATTACATAACCTTTACAATTATATTAAATATTATGCAAGCCTAACAAGATTTGGCAAGTGCGTTGAAAGAAAAAGGAATTGGTAAGTCAATTGAGATTACGTCAATAACTGGATAGTCAATAGTAGAGAGTTATGTAAACTGGAATCCACCGATTAGAAATTCGAATACAGAAGTGTTCAAATATTGTACGCAATAAACCTACTTTTTGTAAACTACTTTGTGAATATTCACATCTTAAGCATAATATTGCCTAAACATGTTAGATTTTGCATTGCTTTTGTGTCAAGCAGAGTCCCTAATTTTGACCACATCTTCAAAAAAGTAAGAAAAGCAGTCAATACTAATTAGGCCAACCCCACTAACATTTCTATTCCAAAGGGATCCACAAGGAGCAGGATCATAACCACCGTGACGTCCTGCTCTAACAAAATAATACCATGCGTAAATTTTTCAATACATGTCATTGTTTTAATAATTAGGATGTGAAAAAAGTTGAGGTTACATTATAAGATTAATTGACAATATGAGGAGTTGTCCAACTACTTATAAGCACATGCAATGTCCCTCTTATCATAAATGTGGGATTTATTCTTAACACGTATCTTCACGTGTGGCGAATTTTCAAGTCTAATGCATGGACCACACAAACGGGGTTATGTGGAGCACGTGTGACTGTTGCGCTTCACACGTGGGACGACCTGCTTTGATACCATTAAAAAGTTGTGATTCTACTATAAAACGAATTGGCAATATGAGATAACCTGTAAGGTCCCTTCTCTCATCAATGTGAGATTCATTCTCAATAGGACTTCACGTGACGGTAAACTAACTTCATGTGAATAGCTCCAAAACATACACATGTAATCCAGTAATCTCACAGAGAACCTAATGAGAAGTACTAATCCTTATTTTGGGAGACGACGACTTAGACTTTTCGTGGCATAAGAAGTCACATTTTTATTGAGTAGGAGATGTGATGCACATTGATGACTGCACGCCCCCAAAATGGAAGGCCTTGAGTACAAGCAGTGTATAATGTGCCACACAAGTCATGATTATTACATGAAAATTTCCAAGCATGACAAGAAGAGAACTTTCATTTGGTGACAACTTGTGTTACTTGCTAGTGTGCCTTCGTGAGTGTGTCCATGCTATTTTTTTGCAGATTAAATAGCACAAAATAAAGGTTCCTAATCATGTAATGCTTCCGATTCAAAGTTGGTAAAAAAATAATCCTGCGCACGGTATGCAAATAAAAGTAACAAGTAAAACGATAATAAAATCAAATTTGGTTAACATACAAATTTTGTGTAGGAATGAAATTTGCAGACTCACCACACAAACTGAAGTTTTGTAGGACTCAAATTCATTGGCAAACATCACACAACATAAAAGTTGTTTAGGAATGAGCCCTAAGTTGTATAGAAATGATATTGCTTATATAGTTACTACTTGCTATAGTAATAGCTTATTTGTGACTAGGAACGTAAAAGCTGATGAAGCAGTGTCTTCGATGCTACGCATCAGATGGAGTTACGTTATAGCTTTGGAATCGAGGTACGACGTTCTGGGAAACCTTCTATTAACTAGTTTGATTATTGCTTATATATATTTGATTTGAATCTTATTAATCTCATTAATGTTTCTGAATGTTATTTTATTATGATTGTTCTTTATTATTGTGATTTGGTTTGAGGATTGGTTTCTGAGCATCTGTGTTGGGTGGAAAATGTAATGAAACTTGATAATCATTCATGATCTGAGAATGAAGTTGTTGCTAGAAAGAAACTCGGAAAAACAAGGTAGTGGTTAAGAGCTTTTGTGTAGTTGAGCCCAGCTCTTGGTGGGTACCTGGTCTGAGGTCAACCCAATGTGCACGTGACCCTTATTGGGTAATTTGAGACTAGCGATAAAGACTTATGGGGTTCGTTCGTGTACTTGAGCATTCCAGATCACTACTTTAGTGGTAAAATATGTAGTATGGGACATGCATGTCAGGTTGTTTATTTATATGAATTAACGAGTGCATTCGTGCATATAATTTCATTATGTACTTAAATTATGTTATTGATATTTGAGTTTTGTCAATCATATGTATGTGAAGGAATAAGTCCCTAAGTATAGGACCAGGCAATTCAAAGGGGTAGGCGGGATGATGTCAAATTAGATGGAAGACATGGAATTTTCTTGTATCGTTGTAAGAATAGGAGTATTATTATTTATTTGTAACATTATAAAGACTTCTTGGTTACTTTTATAAGAGGAATTATTTTTCACACCGTTTTAGTTTCTTTATTTATTTTAATTAGCTCGCATTCCAGATTTGGGTTTTCTACGATCCCAGGTCTTGCATGACAAATCCAGTAAAATTGACGGAACTAAAGACGTTGAAACCAAACACAAAATTGCTACATTAGCTTAAAGAAAAACTAAAGCTGACAAAAGACGCAAAAAACTCAAATTAGCAAACTTAAGCATAGTTTAAGCATAAGTTCAAACAAGCTCCCAAACTCCAAAACAACTAAAATCTTAAAACAACTCAAACTTAAATCTAATCGACGTTATCAACTAAGAAACGCTACGTTCAAATCGACGTATTTAGCCTTAAAAAAATTTATCAACATAGTTTTTGCCATGTACTGTTAATATTCAACTTTAAATAAAAAAATTTATAATGATTTATGACCGCACAATACACGATTAACGAATATGATTTAACGATTTCCAGGATCCTCACTCATTTTAAACAATCACATGAAGAGTGAAATCACTAACAAAGAGTTTTGAGAAGCTCATTGTGGATTGCAAATCACATTTTGCTTTGTTTTCCTTCTAAATATCAATCAATTGTGGTTCCCATTATTATTGTCCTTTTCAATCGATAGGTAAGAATTGTACTATATTTTACACTTCCATGGTGCTGCAGGTGAACCATATGGAGTGGCAGAGGGGCAGTCCTACCCAGCTCTGTATAATGCATGCAGCAGGGCCATTGCTTTTTACAAAATGGTCACAAAACCATAAAATCTATTTGTGCAAAATTCCTTTTTTTTTTTTTTTTTTTGTCAAACTATATGTGCAAGTGACAAACATCTAATTAGTAGGCGAAAATTCTAGAGTACGTTTAGAGATGACATGCAAAATTAAATTTAACGATCAAATGTGCGTCAGAAAAATTCGAGGAAATTAGTAGATAAATCAATAAGCCCTTCTCTTCTTTCCTCCCAATCTCACCATCATCAAACCATCTGTCCTTTTCTTCCCTCGACCGTATCAGCTATCGATCGCTGGCATAGAGAGAAGCCCTGCTGGACCCTGGTTCCTCAGAAACTGACTCTCTAAATGACTAAAATGCCCCTGGCGTATTGTCACTTTCTTGCGCCCTCATACGTGCAGGTCACCACAGCCGAGCCCCACCTCCTCCCCCAGCCCTTTGGCCCACCCACCCCCCAGCCCTCCCTCGTGTCAAACACTTAGCTTTCACCACCACCAATCGCCATCACTCCAACTTAGTGCCCTCCCCCACTCTCCCCATCTCTCTCCTCGTCTCTTTCTCTCTCTAACACAAACACACAGAATTGCAAACAGTAGTAGTTCCTCAGCTCCCTCTCTCTCCTCTCTCTCCCTCTCTAAAATTTTTATATACATTTTCTAATCTGCTCTTCCATAACAGAATATAGCAGGATTCAATAACACCAACATCTCCCTCTTTTTCTTTCTAACTTTTGTTCCCAACCTGTACCCTTCTAACATTAGAAAATTAAAATTTTGACACCAATCTCTCTCTCTCTCTCTGTGGAATCCCTGTCTGTTTTCCCCCAAAACCCAAAATCCCAAACCCTTAAATTTACCAAAAGCAACCAACTTTTCCACAATTTGACATTTTTGCCCAGATGGGTTCTGCTCCTGCTCCTGCTAGAACTCCTTCTGCTTCTGCTGTGCTATTGATAACGCTGCTAAGCGTCGCCGTTTTCCGACCCACCACATCAGATCCGAGCGACGAGGCGTGCCTAACCCACCTGAGCGAATCCCTCCAAGACCCAACAAAATCCCTCCTGAACTGGACCAAATCCACCTTCGCCAACCCCTGCAGCGGCTTGAACTCCTACCTCCAGGGCGCCACCTGCAACAATGGCCGCATCTACAAGCTCTCCCTCACCAACCTCTCCCTCCGCGGCTCCATCTCTCCCTTCATCGCCAACTGCACCAACCTCCAGGCCCTTGACCTCTCCTCCAACTTCCTCGCCGGTCCCATCCCCTCCGACCTCCAGTACCTCGTCAACCTCGCCGTCCTCAACCTCTCCTCCAACCAATTATCCGGTCCCATTCCGCCGCAGCTCACATTGTGCGCCTACCTCAACGTCATCGACCTCCACGACAACTCCCTCACTGGCCCCATCCCCCAGCAATTGGGCCTCCTCGTCCGCCTCTCCGCCTTCGACGTCTCCAACAACAAGCTCGCGGGCCCGATTCCGGTCTCGCTGGGAAATCGGAGCGGGAACTTGCCGAGATTCAATGCGACGTCGTTCCAGGGGAACAAGGAGCTTTATGGGTACCCTTTGCCGCCGCTGAAAAGCAAAGGGCTTTCGGTTCTGTCGATCGTCGGGATCGGATTGGGAAGTGGGTTCGCGAGCTTGGTGCTCAGCTTTACCGGCGTCTGCATTTGGTTGAAAATTACAGAGCGGAAGATGGCGCTGGAAGAAGGGAAGATCAGCCACCTCATGCCTGATTACTGAGGCGGAGAAGAAGAGGCTAATTTGGTAATTTAAACCCCCAATCGAAAACCTTGAGCTAAAAAATTTCATGTATTTTTGGTTTTCTTTTACTGGTGAGAGAATTTTTGGTTTCTTTTTTGGGTTTTATTTGGTTTTTCCTTTTTCTTTTTGGTGCTTTTGATTCTCTTTATAACGTTCTCACCAATCCAACAATGTACAAAAACCCAATTCAAAACACAGTGCTTCAGTCACATATTGCGTTTCTTCATTTCGCTTTCTGTCTCTTACTTACAATTCAAAACGTTATTATAACGGCATCTCAAACCAATCACGCACTGCAACGTTTTCACGAACTACTTCATGCAGTTTTAAGTTTTGTCTGGCAGTGAACTAAAATATACTAAAACAACCAAGCTGGTGTTTATAGTGTTTGAGTATTGTGAGCTGGTAGGGAGACCAACAGAACCACATGGTGTGGAAATTGTCGACCTCTGAAGCTCTCAAAGGCGTTAAATCTAGTGATCATTTGCCCAACATTCTGCGCCTTTATATTCTACTTGGAGTTTGATATTATTGTACCAGTTTACAAAACCATAAATTTAATTAAATAAATGAAAGTAAAAGACTGACTTATTACACTGAAATTTTAACAATAATTCACTGTGATGATTATTTAGCATGTTGCATATAGGCTGTAGTGGTACCCATTATTGTGGTTTGTGGCTTAATTGAATAAACTTATAAAGTGTGTTGTAGGCTCCAGCCCATTTTGTCCCCACCCAAATAATTCACGTTTTCTTTTTATCCGCAAGTTACAGTTTGATATGTCTGTAACATATTTATTTTTGGGTTCTTTGTAAGTTATTTGTGCATATATGTCAGAAAAGATGCTAAGGAGACTCTTTTAAAAATGGGACTCATCATAAACAATTTGTCACCTTATGTTTTTGGCACAATTTCTGTTTTAATATTATAAAACACGAGAAATGTTACGGAAACTCTCAAAGTGGAACTCTCCATCTCTGCCACCTCACAGTTTCAAGTTAATTCTCATGTCAATATTGTAAAACATTTGTAACATGAGGTGTCAGATGGTCTATGAAAAATCCCCTTTAAAAAAGTATCGTAACATTTCTCATATGTCAGAATGTAATTGAAAGTAAGAACTCATTTATCGTTGATAGGATGTCAGTTTTTAAGCTTTTGTTTTTGTAAACGTCGGTCTAAGGCTCGTAGGTGAGGATTTTTAGGATTAAACTTTGTTTTCTTTTGGTTAAACTATGTAATTAGTGACCTTAAGATACTCCTAGATTTGTTTTGAATCGATGCATTGCATGTGTGTGAGACACTTTTTATTACAAACTCTGAATTCTAAATTCTAGTAAAGCTCTTATCTCTTGCTAATTGCTCGCGGGGTTGGTGGTAACGTGAACCCTATTCTTAAGCAACATTCCCATGCTAGATGAGATGTAAAATTGAAGTACTGCTACGGTTCGTTTGTAAGGTGTGCATTGGTGAATACTGATTAAATTGCTCGTACTTGAACGGGTGGATAACTGAACGTAGCAACATTTAGGATTAAAATTATGTTCCAATAATGTATGAAGTTAAAAACATATAAAACGTGGTTAGCTAAGAGGGGTATATTCAAATGAGATTTTAAAAGAATTTTGAGTGATTTGTATATCCGTGAAGTTTGAAGGAGTTTAATTGAGTTTTATAAACTCAATGTATTTCAAGTGAATTCTAAGTGGATTTAAATAGAGTTTGAGTCTTTTATCATTGATTCTGATGGATTTCTATAAACTTTGTAAATTTCAATATTGACCTTAAATAACTTTGTGATGTCGTGAAATTACTACGATTCAACATCAAAAGTACATATGATAAACAAATTAGAGGTCGAAATCACAACTAATTATGTGAAAAACCATGATATTACCATACGATCTATCCTCTTAAAAAACCAATGCTTAGGGACTACCAGATTTCTCTCCGATGAAGTCACTAGCCATCACTGCCTGCAACCAATTACCGGTACATTGAGATACATCGTAGGATACACAGTCGCATAAACATGTGGGCTTGTGTTTTTATGCAAAGACAACTTCCTGTTTAGAGAATGGAGGGATGATCAAACTTCTTGGTTATTCAGTACTCAGTAGTAAGGTAGGGGGACTCGGATCTAATTGTGGTTGAATGAATGGAAGTTGTAAATGAGACTTTTGTGATTTGGATGCGGCATGTCGTGTGACGTAGAGGAAGTTGGGGGTAAAGATGGTGAATTGGGAGAGAAATTGATTGTGTTGGTGGGAGTGATAAGTCTATAAAAAATCTCAAGGAAAAATGTAAGATTCGTTATGATTTAATTTACAGTATAAGCTTTCATAAAATCCATCAGTTTTAAAAATCTTACCAAATTGCCACTCAGTCTGGTGGTATTCCTCTTCACTTGGAAGTAAGATGTTTTAGGTTCGAATCTTATGGATGGTGAATTCGATATCAAATTAGATTACCCATTGTGTAGCTTAGCCAAACTCTCCATCTCCTTAGTTTAAAAATATCGATGTACTAAAAAAAAAAAAAAAAAAAGAAATCTTACCAAATCAATGATATTTTGAATACACGTCGTGTACTTTTATGAATTCATTTAAAATCTTATGTTTTATTTTTCAAACAAATAATATTATCTACACTAATATGGTTCAAATTCGTTTTTGGCGATAATTAAACCTAATACCTCTCACTTACAAGTAAAGAGGAACACCACTAGACCGTAGTACTAAGTGGCAAAATCTTATTTAAATACATCTAAAATTCTATGAATTTTTGTGAACTCATTTAAAATATTGATTGATACCTCTATTCTATACTTTTAAATATTATTTTAAAATTCTAATTGAATAACATTACATTTTAAAACCCTTTTAAACTTATTTAGTTAAAATCTCAATTGAATATACTCCTGCGACCTCAATCCAACTAAATTGGACAAAGATCCTATGGAGAGGAATTTAGTGACCAAAGGAATCATCGAAGTATGTCAAATTCCTTGAACATTCAAAACAGTAGGTAGACCCGCCAGACTTGTCCGTGTCTAATCAAAGAGTAGCTGATCTGATATGATCTGATCCAATGGTTGTGGAGATGCTAAATATTATGTTTTTCAACTCACACCGAAAGCAGAAGATGGTCAAATGAGGTTTCATTCTTCTCATTGAACGGGGGTCCTCCTCCTAGAATGGCATGCATTACATCATGGGGATGGGGCCCTTGCAATGGGTTGATTGTGTTTCTTTCAACTTGTGCAGTTTTCCCATTTAACTTTTCCTTAACTTTGTCACTTGAGATTGGGAGATTTTTCAACGTGTTTTGATCACAATTTGGTACACCCAATGTAATAAAATAATTAATTGAAAACTTAATGAAAGAATTTCAACCAATTATATCATGACACTTGGTATACCAGATTGTATTTCTAACACAATGATTTTTTTTTTTTTACCTTAAGATTACATGGCTTGTCTATTTTGTCACTTGAGTAGAATCTCAAGTGATGTTCCTTTACCTTGCACTCCTCTCCTAATTTTGTCTCTTAAATCTTTTTATTTTATTTGTTGCGTCCAACGTTGACTAGAAAGACAAAGATAGATAATAAGTGAAAAGAGAAGCGCAAAAATTACTCTCAAAATATTTGTAGTTGCAACTTTAATCCATGCTTCATGGCCACTTAGTACTACGTAGGGTCTAGTGATATTCGTCTTCATTTGTAAGTAAGAAGTCTTAGGTTTAATTATCGTTAAATGCAAATTTGAACTGCATTATTACTAGTTTATTGTGAGGCTAAGCCACTCCATCCCTCTTAATATAAATAATATCGTTGGTTCAAAAAATCCATGCTTCGTGGTCGGAAGGACTCTTGGGTTGGAGTTGGACCATACTTGATTCTTCTGCAGTGTCAATAATCACAATTCTCTATATTGTAAACAATAATTAAACATTATTTACGCAAAAAAGAAAATGACCAGTTTAATTGTCTATCATATTACATTGCATAAATAGAAAATTTCCAATGTTTTTTTTTTTTTTTGGGTCATGCTACTGATACGTATCATGAAAGAAAAATCACTACTTCTTAGCCCAAATGGAATATGTGGAGCTTCAACATATTTTGTTGATAAACGATAACGTTAGTGAGTTAAGTTATTAATTGTTACGAGGGAGAAGAATCAATAAGGATCGAGCTTGCGCGCACCAGAGTTCGCAGGAGCCAATGTGTATATGAGCAAATTATAGGGTATTAGTTTACCTTTAGGAATAATTTTTGGTGAGTTCGTAAAAGTTAATAATCTTTTAAATGATGGCAAATTGGCAAAACATGGGTACGGAGGTAACTTTCTTTTCTTTTTTTTTTTTTTTTGACAAAATGGGCCGAGCACTTGAAACTTGTGAACGCTTGAATTTGGCCCACATAGCCCATCTCTCAATTTCTACAAAAACGAATTAAAACCAAAGAAAAAATGCCCTTCTTTTATTTACTATTCTTTTTGCTCGCTCCAAAACCAAAACCCTAAACCCTCTGAGAGCTCGAGCTCAAAGACTACAGACTCCCATGGCTGAAACCACAGAAAAGCCGCCCAAGGAAATTGAAAGCGAAGAAGAAGAGGACCAGACCTTCGAAACCCTCGGGCTCGATGGTCGCCTTATCCGTGCCCTAAACAAGAAGAAAATTCACAAGCCCACGCCCATTCAGCAAGTCGCTATCCCTCTCATCCTTGTAAGTTTTCTTTCCCCAAATTAATTTGATTTTATTCTCTGTTTGGATTCGGAGAAAATTTGGAAATGGAAATTGAATTCGAGGTTGAAACCGTTGTTAATTTTACTGTTTTTGCTGTATTTGGAAATGTGTTTCAGCAAGGTAAGGATGTGGTTGCTAGGGCAAAGACTGGTTCTGGGAAAACATTTGCGTATCTGCTTCCGTTGCTTCAGAAGCTGTTTGCTTCTGAATCAAAGAAGAAACTTGCTCCGAGTGCAATCGTTCTCGTGCCTACTCGGGAACTCTCTCAGCAGGTTTGTGGATTTTGTGTGATTACCCGGTTCCAATTGATTATGCCCTTTTGTATTTCTCTGTGTGTTTGATTATTGAATGCCAATGTTTGTGGCGCATATGCAGGTTTATACAGAGGTTTCATCATTGATTGAATTCTGTCGAGTTCCATTGAAAGTTGTACAGTTGACAAGCAGCATGCCTGCTCCTGATTGGGTGCGTTCACCTTTTACCAATTATATGAAACGAACACGTGTGGGTGATTCTAAAACCATTTTGCTGACTCTTATCTTATCTACAATTGTTCTTGCAGAAGACGGCTTTAGCGGCACTACCTGAGATTCTGGTTACTACACCAGCTTGCATAAAGAAATGCTTGTCAGATGGTGTTCTTCAACCAGCTTCCATTGATGATTCACTAGAAATTCTCGTTCTTGATGAGGTGAGGGAACAGTTATTGGCACAGATGCACAAACATATTTGTCAGTTTTACTTTAGTGATGGAATTCATATTCATTGCTTGCTGCCCCAATAATTTTGTTCACCTTCAAAGACTGTTTGCTCCTACACTGATTCTGTACCTGATAGCTTATGCCGTATGCGTTATTGACAAATATTGTATTAGTCTTTGTATAGAGTTGTAATTGTTACTTGAAAACTCTGCTTCGTTGTTGTTTCACATGGTTTTAGAATTTAGAGGTGCATTGACTTTATAATTTTTGCACTAATGTATGGCTGGTAGGTACTATTACGATATTCGCTTTTTCCCATTGCCAAGTTTTGAAGATTGTTTACTTAGTATTATCCCATTGACCGATCACTAAACTGTATTTTGTTTCAGGCAGATCTTCTGTTGTCATATGGTTATGAGGCAGATATAAAAGCATTTACACCTCACATCCCTAAGCGATGTCAATGTCTTCTTATGTCTGCCACCGCAAGGTTTGTTATTTACAGAATATCTGCACCAATCTTATTTTCAGAATTAGAAACGTAGGAGTTGATGTTAAGGATGATGAATTTGGTTCCATTATTATCTCTAGATAGATCAAAGGTGGATTTTATCATTTTTTTCACTTGAGGTTTTTACTTTGCAATCTGCTATTGATACGATACCTAGCACATTTTGACACTTGGCAGTGATGATGTTGAAAAACTGAAGAAGCTGATTCTGCATAACTCTTACATTTTGACTTTACCTGAAGTTGGAGATATCAAGGATGATGTCATCCCGAAAAATGTTCAGCAGTTCTGGGTAAGACTTGTGATGCCTTAACAGGAAATCACATAATCCCAACATTCTTTTGTTTCACCATCTTTGCCAAGAGTGCTTTATGATTCATAACTCATTCAACATAGAAGTAATAGTTCAGTTAGCACAGTCAATCTGTATATTTTTTTCATACTATAAATTACTGAAACATGTAAACTCTATAACCATTTAGATTTTTCAGGTATAAATACTATGCTTTGTTTTGCCCAAAACCATTTATTTTTATTTTTAAGGCATGTCTACTTCAGTTTAGTTTGTCATCTTTCTTTTATGCTATCACCTATTTATAAGTTCTCCCTCTTTGGGTAACAGTGATCTTATGGGTTTTTGTGTGTTTTTCATTGCTTTGTGTATCTTTTGTGTGCCAATTGAGTTCTTGTTGAAACAAGACTTTCATGTGTCTATTAACTTTCTTTTTCCTTAGATATCATGCAGTTTTCGTGACAAGTTACTGTACATACTGTCCCTCTTGAAGTTGGAGCTGGTTCAGAAAAAGGTTCTGATATTCACTAATACAATTGACATGGGGTTCAGATTAAAATTATTTCTGGAAAAGGTATTTAGATTTCTTTCAGATGCGTAACGTTTTTTTCTTTCTAAAACACAATCCTTCAGAGGGAGGGAGGGGTTGATTTATGCCGTTATATAAGTCTAACTGCCTTTATACTGCATAATCATAACTTATTATCTGTCTGCTTTATTTACTTTGTTACTGTCCATTTTTGCAGTTTGGAATCAGATCAGCTGTTTTAAACTCAGAGTTGCCACAAAATTCTCGTCTGCACATTCTTGAGGTTTGCCAATATCCGAATCTATTTGTATTCCAGTCTGTTCATGTTTTGTGGTTTCCCATGTTATGGGTTAGAGTTATTTCTCAGGTCTACCATTTGGAGAATTATGTTTTACGATATCCTTACAACTGTAGTTTGTCAACAGGAATTCAATGCTGGCTTTTTGATTATTTGATTGCGACTGATAACAGCAAATCAAAAGAGAGTGAAGACAAGGCGGAGAGTAGTATTGAACTAAAAAAATCTAGAAAGCATGCTAAACATAAAGCTGACTCTGAGTTTGGAGTGGTGCGGGGAATTGACTTCAAAAATGTACACACGGTATGTCATTACTATTCTTGTTGGTGTTTTTTTGCAGGTTATCATTCTTTACATTAAACTTTGACCGGGTTAGTTCTGGGATATCATGTATGCATCCTGGATGATTTATTTGAACTCGACAGCATTGATTTGGTAAAATCAAATTCACATTTTAATTGCTGGTTTTTCATTCCCAAGAATATTTATGAATATCTGTTACTTTGAAAGTGTGTCTTCAAATTACTATCTTGAAAGATTGTACAATGTCCCAATAACTGTACTGCGTATCTATCACTTACCGGTTGCAAAGTTGACCATTTATTATTTGGAGGGAGAATCTGGAGGAAATATTAATCTTATTTTATCAAATAGTTATAGCTGAAAAGTGGTGAAAATTCTGGATCAGTGAGTTTTTCTTCAGTTCATTCATTATTTTATAGCTAGGAGTCCCATAGGGCTAAAATTTACGTTTGTAACTTAATTAAGAATTTCAAAGGTTCAAGCTTCTTTCCACGATCACGTTGGCCACCTAAGCCATTGTCCTAGAATTCATTAAGTCGATAACCAATTTCTTGTGCCTTGTCAATCTGAGGTGGGAAAATATAATTTATTTAACTCATGCACCTAAATGTCACAATATATGTCAGTATATCCCTTTGGGTATTATATAAGAATTACAGTTTTCTATTTTGTTATGTATTGGCTTGCCATAATGCTCCTTATTCATGTTGTTTGCACTTGTGATTTCTTCATTACATACCCCTATTCAAATGTCTCTTTTTCATGTTGTGATTGGATAGAATGTCTTGGTAATTCAAGTCATGGTGGGCTTCTGCTGTTTCAGGAGCCGATGATTGTTCCTTGAGTCGCTAGTTTAGTTTTTTTTTTTTTTTTGGTTACGGTGGACCAAGTTCACCTTTAATGAAAATTTGATTCCTTTTATATTAATGAAAGATTTCTTTGTTTTCTGTGTTTTAAAAATTATGTTATCAAATACCATGCTCAGTTAGCATTCTGTTTAACCATACCAGCATTTTATTCTTCGATGCAGGTTGTAAATTTGGATATGCCTCTAAGTGCTGAAGGATATGTTCATCGAATTGGACGTACAGGAAGGGCATATAGTACTGGTGCTTCTATCTCCCTTGTGAGTTTGTTACTCGATGATCATTACATCTCTAACACACCCCGCCCCACTCCATTTTCCCTTTTTAAGGAAACCAAATAATCTGAATTTCACACCCTGAACCCTGTTATAACCCCATGCATCCTCTGTGGAAGTTTTCAAGCTCCTTGGGACGTGTCAAATATAACCATAGCTGGCTGTTCCAGTGAACCCAAAATACTTGTACTATTACTTTTGTTTGTTGTGCATGCGTGTGATGCAACAGTGCATGTTCTAAAAAGATTTCTGTATAAATTTAGGTTTGTGTGTTTCATCTTGCCTAAGACGTGTATCTTTAATGCCTCCATAGAAGAGAGAGTTGATAATGATAATTATGATGATCTTATCTTGTGAAACATTCTCATTTTAATATTTGTTTCTTGTAACAGGTGTCTCCAGATGAGATAACAATCTTTGAAAAAATAAAATCCTTTTTGGGGGATGATGAGAAAGATGATTCAAACTTAATTGCTCCATTTCCTTTACTGACCAAGAACGCAGTGGAGTCTTTAAGATATAGATCTGAGGTGATTGTTCTGATTCATTTATCTTTCATGGTTCCCTTTGTCTTTTCATTAAGGTTTCATTGGTCATCTCACTTTTTTCGCTTCCTGAGTGGACCCTTGAGACATTGTCGTCCTATTAACCATAAATTTCCAACTTTCAATCACCTTGTTTTGCATCATTCAAATTCCTAATCTGACACTGAATGGAAGCCTAATGTATGCTCAAAGCCGCAAGATCACTGATGATAAACACCGACTTTTATAGGATGTTGCAAAGAGTGTGACAAAGATTGCTGTCAGAGAATCGCGAGCTCAAGATTTGAGAAATGAAATTCTCAATTCTGAAAAGTAAGTATATACCATTATTGCTTTCTTTATCTGTGACTCAGTATGAGGCTGTGGCCCTTTAAACATTGGGTGTAACTACTCGTGTTTTTTTTTTTTAGTTCCCTGTTTTCCAGCCTTTGCTTTCTCCTCACTAACCTCTCTACGACGACTTATGTTTTTGTTTTCTAACGGTCTGCTTCTATATGTTTAGGTTGAAATCGCATTTTGAAGTTAATCCAAGAGACCTAGGTATTGTTAGTTGGATGTATCAAGTGTCATTATACCCATTTCAGTACCATTTCAAGCTACAAGATTAAACCATTACTAATTTTTATTATTCGTGAGCAGATCTGTTGAAACATGACAAGGTTCTCAGCAAGAAGCCCCCCGCTCCTCACCTACGTGATGTTCCTGATTATCTGTTGGACGCAACTACTAAAGAAGCCAGCAAGACCGTTAAGCTTGCTAGAGCTGCAATGGGAAATCCCAACCCCGCTCGCCGCAATGGATATAAGAAAAACACCAAAAAGAACAAGGACCCCCTCAAGGCTTTCACCACTGAGGTACTTTAGCGTTTGTTTATATGTAAATTCTTTCATGATTTTAAGTCTTATCCGTTTCACTTAGACATATACAACAAAGCAACGAAGCCTCGTCCCAACTACTAATGGGCAGATACAGGAATTGGTTGCTAATGTATTTTGTAATAATCTGATGCCAGGGACAAAAGAGAGCTCGTAGGGACGGGTCGAAGGCAGAAGGTAAAGACGGCAATGACTACCGTAGACAAAAGAAGAGAAAGGCGTAAGTTATCTTTTGATTTCATGCATATGTACTTGTCTAAACAGAGAAGCAAGCAACCAACTCCCTCAATTTTGTATCAAGATATATTGATAAAAGCAAGCAACCAACTCCCTCAATTATGTATCAAGATATATTGATAATTTATGGTTCTTTAAACACTTCCTTTATTCAACTACCCATCTGCAGTGTACTTAAAGGTGGGCTCAACTTCTTTGTCCAGTTATACAATCTTACCCACAAATTTTGTTTTTGGTTTAAAATTGATTGAACTAATGGTTACAAATCTCAAATTGCTGAATTGATCACAATCAAATAACGACGATGCGTGGATTGTTTTTTCCTCCAATTAGGTAATTTGATTGACGTTTGGTTGCTGAAACTTAATTATTGACGATATATTGATCTGATATCAACGAAGAAAGATGATATAATGTTGAAAACGGATTATTTCAGCATCAAATGTCAAAGTTGTTGCAGTATTAATTCCAACACATATATAATTGTGTAAATTATTAGTATATTGTATTTAGGATATTAGAAGATCCTTTATCTTTACGATTATTTTACTTACCATCTTGATTTACAATAAATAAAGGCCTAAATTTTGAAAAATAATACAAAATGCCTCAAACCTATTCTTCATTTCTCTTTTTTTTGTTTGTCATTAAAGCACCTTACCTTTCTCTCTCTAATTATTGGCCACAACACAAGTGATATTTTTGCAATTGCATAATTTCAGCAATTTTTATTTTTATTTTTGTTTTATTTAATATGTGGTTCAACTTTTGTTGTCTACATTTAATTGTTATTTAACAACAAAACTGTTTGGTACAAAGACAAGTCACAACTCACAAGGTAACCGACTCCGGTACGATTCCGATTTACATTTACTCGGAGGACCACACTTGAATGATACTCCAATTCTCTCTCGTGATATATATAGCAATCAATGGCTCTTTTAAGATTGAGTAGTTGTTCCTTCTTAATATACTTTATGATCGATTCATAAAATTTTTTGTTCATAATCGAAACTATTTATATTATAAATTTTTATATAAAGATCAAATTTACACAAAAAAATAATTAAAATTAAGGTTATTTACTCAATCAATTTTAACAAACATGTAGACATAGAGGCGCACCGCCATTGGGGTCATCAGTGGCGATGGCCGCTCTGTGATTTTTGTAAATGCTAATAATGCCAAGATGATCCTCTTCGGATTCTCTTTGTGAGGATTCCAGAGATCCTTTAATCGTGTCTGTTCATCTTACATCGTGCGGTCAGAGAATATTTTAATTTTTTTATTTAAAATTAAACACAAACAGTATATGACGAAAACTGGCTGCACGATGTACGATAAACATACACGATTAAACAATTCCTGAAATCCTTACAAAGAGGATTCGGATATTCCTAATAATGTTCGGAAGGTTGTAATATTTTAGCTATGGAGTTATTTATACATATTCGTACCTTGTGGTCCTCCAAATAAATGTAAAATAAGTTTTTTGTCAAATAAATGTAAAATAATTAAAAAAACACAAATTTTGGGGTCCAATATCAAAATGGAAGATGCATCCTGCCGACATTCGATATTTTTATTTGAAACAAAAGGCCCAAGTTTAGAAAAAAAATGTATTATAAATTAAAAAAAAATATTTATGTGTATATTGCCTATAGTCTTTTAAAGCTTTTTTTTTTTTTTTTTTTATTTTTTTAAGAAGATCATTTCTAATTATTGGATTAAAATCTAAAATTTAGGTTTTAAATTAACCCAATCATTTTTTAATAGTTGGAAATAAAATAAATTTTGCGTTAAAATTTAAAATTGAGTCAAATTTAACCCATAATTTAGGTTAGAGTTAAAAGATTGGCCTACCAAAATTTAGGTTTTAAACTAACACAATCATTCTCCAACGACTGCAAGTGGCCCTCTACCACAGTGGTGGAGATGAGTGTTGCTCTTGCACTACAGCGTGAGTTTGAACTCCGTCGGTTCCTTAATCTAACATCTAATCTAACAATTATATCGTTTGACAAATAAAAAAATAAAAAAAATCATTCTCCCATAGTTAGGTCTAATTAAGTTTGGGTTAAAACATAAGGGCAATTTTAAAATTTTAAATACAGTAAATGCAACGGCTGATCAATGCCCAGCTATAGAGGAAAACACAAATAATTCGAAAAAAAAATAAAAGTCATCTAGTAGGCTTTGATATTTACTTATGGTCCCTCCTTTGGTATTCAAACAACCAAAAAAGCAAATGTGAGACACAATGGACAACAAAAAAATCAACAGCCCCATTTGAACACAAGGTGGAGTCCCAAATTACAAGCTAGCAAGTCAGCCCAATGGACAAATTGATGAACAATTGAAAGAATTATATACAAGTTAGATGAAATAGAAACCGGTTTAGCCTCAGTTACTGCAGCAAATGGTGAAACAACAATTCTTTGCGGGCATCAGGAATGCCAGGAAGACACCGGTGACTGCAATCTTGAATCCCCAACTTTCTTGAATTTCTTCCATATATGGATGGGTGACCATCGATTTCGTATTCGGACAAGCCATGTTCAAGAATTTCACAAGAGTTTTTCATCTGCTTTATGACCTCTTCTATAATTCTATTATTTTCGTAGTAAGACGAGCTCAAAGTTTGGAGCGGTTGAGTTACTTCTTTACAATTCCCACCAGAATTCCATTGACCTTCCATGTTCAGTGAGTTACCGTTAATCATAAACTGACTTGCACAAGGTTTTGAATTTTGAGGGGTTTTAGGTCAATTCACATGAGTTTTTTCTTTTTTGTTATATTTGAATTTTTTTTATAATAAAAAGTGACATTTATAAAATTGGGTGTTAAATTTTGCTATTAATGATAAATACTCATCAAATAAGTTGTATACAATCCAATCCAAAAACGAAAAAAGACATGTTATAAAAATTTGTTTACTGCGTGACACTTGCCATTTTAGGAACAATTTGATAATAAATTGACACATTTTTAAGAAGTGATTTTTACACTGTTATTTCTCCTTCCTTACACATTCATCTTGATCTTTAATATTTGTATTCAATGGTGGAACCAGAAATTATTCAGTGGGTGGGCTAAGCTAAAATTATCACTATGAAATTAATTTGAAGTAAGAAATTTAAATTTTTTTTCTAGGCTTCTAACCTTTAAAATTTCAAATGAATAAAGTAAGTAGAAGTTTTAATTTATTATTATTAAATTTTAGCATGGTTAAAGTGATGAGTTTATTTACCTCTTATTTTTCTGCCACTTAGTACTACGGTCTAGTGGTATTTCTCTTCATTTGTAAGTGAGAGGTCTTGAATTCGATTCTTGTCAAAGGCAAATTTGAATCATATTATTGCTAGTTCATTGTAAGGCTAAGCACACCTCCTTTCTCTTAGCGTATAACATCATTTGTTTGAAAAAAAAAAAAAAACTCTTATTTTCCCTAAAAATAGATATAGAATTTAGACTTTTCATTTCATAGGTGGGTTGCGACAATTAAAAATCATAAAATAACCTAGATGATTAGTATTTGTAAGTTTAAAGATACTCTCAAAAATTCTTGCCAACCAACTAAAGTCCCTCCTTCCCATGATCATCTCAACAAGCCAAAATGCTTTTGTGGGAGACCACCAAATACAGGACAACATCGTCATTGCCCTACAAGGTATTCCATTTCCTCAAGCTCCAAAAGACCAAGACGAAGTTCGAGCTTGGCATCAAACTAGATATGAACAAGGCCTACGATAGAGTTGAATGAGACTTTCTTGAAGCCACTATGCTGAAAATGGGGTATAGCTGATTGTGGGTAGGGCTTATTATGAGATGTGTCATGACTGTGGAGTTTTTGGTGTTATCGAATGGAAGTTCGGGTGATTGCTTTAGGCTAACTCATGGCCTTTGCCATGGGGATCTAGTCTCCCCATATTTATTATTTATCATCAGCAAAGTCTTGTCCCGATTAAGCATGCATGCTTCTGAGACAGGTTTTATCGAAGGAATCAGGATTAATGCCTATGGTCCTACATTATTTCACTTATTATTTGTGGATGATACCTTGATTTTCTTGTGGCATCAAGGCGAAATTGAAAAAATGTGGACAGGCTGCTGAAGACTTATTATCACGCCTCGGGGCAGGAGGTCAGCACCCAAAAATCGGTTGTGTATTTCAGTGCTAAAAAACCCTGTCTGTTTAGGAAGAGCTATGTGGGATTTTGAACATGACAAGGGTGGAGGATCTTGGAACCTACCTTGGAATCCCAGCAGGGTAGGGCAAGACTAAGATGGTGACTCTGTCTTATATTAAGGATCGGGTATTGTAAAAAATTCAAGGATGGAAGAACAAATTTCTTTCATATGCCAGTCTTGAGGTGTTGATTAAGGTTGTGGTTCAAGCGGTGCCAACTTACCCAATGAACGTTTTCCGCCTCCCGGATAGGCTTTGCAGAGATATTGACAGGGCAATTGTGAAATTCTAGTGGGTGAATTCTGATAAGGCCAGGGGCATCCACTGGGTTAATTAGCGGGACATGGGGATGCCCAAGTGTAATGGCGGTATGATGTTCAAGAATTTTGGGGACTTCAACCTCACTCTTTTTTCCAAACAGAGTTGGCGTCTTATCCAGGAGCCTAATTCATTATGGGCTCGGGTCCTTAAAGATCGGTATTTCCCAAATTCCTCATTCTTAGAGGCTAAAAGGCAGGCTAAGCTTTATGGATATGGTCTAGTACTTTGGAGGGACGAGATGTAATTATGAAAGGTGCTCATTGGCAGGTTCTCAATGGTAGGAAAGTTTGACTATAGAAAGATGTCTGAGTCCCAAGTATTGTGGTTGGTCATCTTATCCCCATTAGCAATGGTGCGATGAATTTGGAGCAGACGGTAGAGTCAATCATTAATCATAAGGTTGGTGTATGGGATTTGGATCTTATTTGTAATGTCATCTCGATGACGAATAAAATGGCAATTGAGAGTTCTTATTTTGGTGATCTCGAGAGGCCTGACCATCTGGTTTGGCGGGCAGACAAAATTGGGAGATACATGGTCAAATCAGGTTATCGATAGATCATTGGGCAAAGACCACCTTGTGTAGGTCCTATTGAATCAATTAACTTGAATGTTTGGAAGTTGATTTGGGGAATACAGACGCCTCCCAAGATGAGGAACTTCATGTGGTGGAGATCATAGAGCTATTGCCACTTCCCGGAACTTGTTTTAGAGATGATGCTCCCCTTCCCCTACATGTCCAATCTGCGGCGAACATGACGAGTCAACTGAACACCTCATCCTCTTATGCCCATGGGTGGAAGCAGGTTAGTTTGATGGCCTCCTTGGTTTTTTATTGGACTAGAATTTCATTTCATCGTTTGATGCTTGGCTTCTTAGGGTGGGAAATGGGAATTAATGGATCTAAATTGGAGAGGGCGAGGTTTCTCATACTGGTTGCGTTCTCCTGCTGGTTCATTTGGAGATCCAGGTGCATGTCAGTCTTTGAACAGTACCAATCGTTGCCCTTAAATACAATTGCTGCCATTAGGAACGCGTTTGATTGCTTCTTTTTGCAACGCGCTGCTTGCCTTCATCCTCTTTCCAACGGGCGTCTATCTGGTCATTTCCATGGTCCCCTCCTCCTCCTCCAAATTTGGTTAAGGTCAATGTTGATGCTAGTTGGAGGTCGGGGGATTCTCGGGGTTTTGCAGGCATTGTTATCCGTGATGCTCACTACAGATGCATTGAGGTGGCTCGGGTGGAAGTTGTTGCTTCAAGTGCTCTGATGGTGGAATCCATCGTGATTTGGGAGGGGTATGCCATTGCTCGTCGAAGGAATAAGCTCCAGATTGTTGTTGAATCTGCTTCCAAGCTGGTGATATCCTATCTTAATGTTGGCTTGGATTGTACTCCTTGGGAAGTTCTCCTCATTCTAAGCCCTGTCTTGGCTTTGGGAAGTTCTTTCCAGGCTTGTACCTGGTCTTGGATCTTAAGATCAGCAAATGCTATGGCGGACTTTGTTGCGTCACATTGTGTGGCAGGGATACGCAATTCTGTGTGGATCAAAATACCTCCATCCTCGCTTGTGGGAATCCTCAACAAGGACGGTCTCCCATGCCCCGTAAGTTATTTTCGTTAGAAAGCGTTGGATCGACGTGTTTGTCGGTGCTCGGCTACATCTTGTAACCCTTACATCCCTCTTGCTTTCTCTCTGTTGGTTTCTATCAGCCTTCGTGGCTCTCTCCTTGTAATTTGGCTTTTGCCCTGATTTTATGAAAGTCCAATTTCCTAAAAAAAAATAGAACTAAAACTTCTTCTATGCTTAGCCCATAGGAGCCTTGTATTTGGCTCTACCAGTATTTGTATTATTATTTTGAGAAGACCAATGTTTGTATTGAATAAATAAAAAATAATTACAAAACATAAAATAAAATAAAAAGTATCGAAATTGTTTCTCTATTTTTCTTTTGTGTTGAGTTAGGCTCGAATGGTAGCCTTGGACTGCCCAACTAAAAAGCTGCATGCTTTTAATAATTTGTGGTCCCTGGTTTTACGATTTGGCCCTTCTTCTTTTAGGAACTTTAATTTTCAGTTAATATGATTTTATGATATAAGAATTATCTATACTACTTTTCTTTTCAAAAGGATTATTTTTTATTTTTTATAATTTTATTATTATTAACAGGAGGGGGAGAATTCAAAATTATAATAATTATTTAGAAGAGAGAGGAATTTTAAACCCTGAAGGCATGGGTGGAAACTCACTGTGACATCCCACATCGCCCAGGGGAAGTGATCCTTAAATGTATATTCCCATCCCTACCTAGCACGAGGCCTTTTGGGAGCTCACTGGCTTTGGGTTTTGTAGGAACTCCGAAGTTAAGCGAGAAGGGGGCTAGAGCAATCCCATGATGGGTGATCCACTGGGAAGTTGCTCGTGAGTTCCCAAAAACAAAACCGTGAGGGAATGGTAAGCCCAAAGCGGACAATATCGTGCTACGGTGGTGGAGCGGGCTCGGGAAGTGATCCGCTCCGGGCCGGGATGTGACACTCACACTCATCCACTAGGATATTAATCTTTTTGTCAATTGAAATTCCAAGAAATTATAATTTTAACCCTCCCCTCAAAACTGAAGAAAATTAAAAGAATGGACAATTTAATAATTACATAATAACATGAATTTTACTATTTTTACGCCGCTCTCACAATCATGTACACATATCAGGTCCTATTTTAAAATAAAAAACAAGTAAATTTATTTAACCTCTCTGAAGCACACCCGTAAGGGTACAGTTTGCTAGTTTTAGTTAAAATTTTCTTAATTAGTAAGAGGACTAGTGAACTTAAACCAAACAAAATTACATACTACTAGTGCCACTATAGTTAGGGGCACCTCTCAAATATTTAATATTTCAGAACTATGTGAATTCATTTTTGTGGTTTGTATGATGCCACTAATTGCTATGTTCTACAAACTTGGACAACTGATATTTTATTTTCGTTAACGGACAAGTCTTTCTTTTCTAATCTTTTCCTAACAAGTAACTAATACGAGTCTAAAAATTGCATTTTTTAAAGAGAATAACTCTTGGGTTTCAGCAGTCGTATAATTTATACATAATGATACGTTATTAGATTGACAAACTTTTCTCTTTAAGTCTTCCTCATTTTGGTAGTCCTTGTGTCCTAGTTTCTAGTGATGCTTTATGAAGCTACATGTCGAATTGAAGAGTTCAAATCTTCTACGCTCAAACTTCTCTGCGCCCTTTTTATGATTAATCTCAGAGGTTGACACCTATCCTCAATATAATAGAATTTTAACAAGAGATGAATTAAAAAAAAAAAATCTGAAAATTTAAAATTTTGAAAGGAAAACAAAACAACAAACCCAGCCATCCATTGCTTGTATGGTTTATGTAAATTTTATTTTTTTATTTTTTTATTTTTTTTTTAAAGTGTATGGTTTATGTAATTATGTTGTGTTTTAGTAATAAAGTAACCCTTTACCCAAAAAAAAAAAAAAAAAAAAAAAAAAACAAGAAACCCAGCCATCTATCCTCTCACCCACCCAACCTCGCCAACTGCCGCAGCCACCGGCGGCAATCCCTATCCTCTCCACAACTGGAAAGCTCCGAAGCGATGAATTCGAGGGATTAGGAACTCTTGGATCGCTGGCGGCGGGAGGAAGAGAAATAAAGGAAGGGAGAGAGAGCTCCAAATGACAACACAAGCACAGTCCGTAATCACGCACGCAAAATGAGCATTCAATTCCTCACCCAACTACCCCAAAAATGCTCCTACAAAACCCCCCACGTCCACGTCCACGTCCACGCCCATGCCGTTACCCACATCCCTCCTCCTCCATCGTCATCCACAGCAATCAATTTCAAATTCACATCCCTCATCATCTACCTCCAATCTCTCTCTCCTCCCATAATTCTAAAACCAGAACCAGAACCAGAAGAAAGCCCAACATTACTAGTTGCACCCACTCCCGCATTTCTTCATCTGGATCGCCGGCTTCTCCATCTGGGCCTTCTTCTTCTCATCTGGGTCTTCTTCTTTCTCATCTGCGTCTTCTTCTAAGATGGCGGCAACTGTGGCGGTTGATCCGTACATTCTCTGGACCTTCTTCGCCTCCCTCTTAGGCTTTCTCGCTCTCTCTGTTCTCCGTCGCCGGAATTCCGGCTATGCCAAGAGCAATGCTCAGAAGAACAAGAGTAATTCGACGATCGTTCAGGATAAAAGCATCAACAGCTCTGACGACGGAGAATTCCCCCCAATTCACGGCTCTGGCACCGATGTAATAGTCATCGGCGCCGGCGTTGCTGGCGCTGCTCTCGCCCTTACCCTCGCCAAGGTAAAAGAAAACCAAATTAAAGTTTTGATTTTATTTATTATTATTTTTTGGGAAATTGTCAGCTTCTTTGGTTGTTTGTGAATCTGGGTGGCGTAGCGTGTCGGCTTCAGAACGCTTGTTTTTTTTACTTTTTGTGTTGTGAATAGTACTGTTAACTGCCCGATTGAAAAGTCACGATCTTGGCATGCCATGCACTTAGAAAAGTTAAAGTTGATGACGCAACTCTTGTTTGTAACTTTGTACACAAGTTTTTGTTATTTTACTTTTATCAACTTTGCAAATAAATAAAAAGTTTGACGGTTCATCGTCAAGACTGGCATGTCAATGCGCTCTGTAGAATTGTAGAAAGTTTTACTTATCTGTTGCTAATCCCAGGAGGGAAGACATGTTCATGTGATTGAAAGAGACTTGACGGAGCCAGATCGAATCGTCGGCGAGCTGCTCCAGCCAGGAGGGTACCTCAAATTGATTGAGTTGGGTCTTGAAGGTAATAAAAGTTGCTAATTCTTGGAGTTTTCTTTTTGTTCCTCTTCTTACTTAAGTTGGCTTTTTGAATTTAAATGTTGAATATGCCGCTTTTCTTAGTATTGGTTTCGGTTGCGAAATCTGACAATAACAGTAACATGTATGAGCATTGGTTTCAGATTGTGTGGAGGAAATCGATGCTCAGCGAGTGGTCGGTTATGTTCTTTTTAAGGATGGGAAGAACACTCGGCTGACCTATCCTCTGGAACAGTTCCACTCCAATGTGGCGGGGAGAAGTTTCCACAATGGCCGATTCATACAGAGGATGAGGGAAAAAGCTGCAAAGCTTCCCAAGTAAGTTTCTTGCCTCCTCATTTGAACGCTATGTTGTCGTGCTTGAGTCCATGATGTTTGGTTTCATGTAAATTATCAGCATTTTTTCAGTGAATGTTCCGTTTTCGTAATGCAGCGATGATTGACCCCCTTGCATCCTCTTGTGTCTTGTTTTCTTTCAAGTGTACAACTGGAGCAAGGTACTGTAACGTCCCTGCTTGAAGTAAATGGGACAATTAAGGGTGTTCGATACAAAACCAAGGATCGTCAAGAACTTCAAGCGCACTGCTCCTCTTACGATTGTTTGTGATGGTTGCTTCTCAAATCTGCGCCGCACTCTTTGCAAGCCTCAGGTAAAGTTGCTTCTTCAAATCTCTAATACAACGATTACGTGGTTTGATTAGGATGCCGATGCACTTGCAGAAACCTTTAACTGGAACCCTCATTAATTTTTTCATATCCGAGGATCAGAGATTTCTGTTGGAACCCGCACTTCCTACATTGACAAAGATGGTATCGATCTACTTTTTTTTGCAGCTTGAAGTGCCCTCTTGGTTCGTGGGATTAATCTTGGAAAATTGCAAACTCCCATTTGCAAATCATGGGCATGTTATTCTAGCGGATCCCTCTCCGATCCTGTTTTATCAAATCAGCAGTACAGAGGTCCGCTGTTTGGTCGATGTGCCCGGCCAAAGGGTACCTCCCATTGCCAATGGTGCAATGGCTAACTACTTGAAGACTGTGGTGGCTCCACAGGTACCTTTCGGTTTCAAAATTAGGGGTCTTGAGTTCAAACATTGAAACATTTTGATTGATCCTATTTTTTCGACAGTAGTTTCTGTCCCTTTTTGGGCTGAACCGGCTTCTTCTATTTTGAATTAACGAAGAAAATGTCTGCTTCAGGTTCCACCAGAACTTCATGATGCCTTCGTTGCTGCAATTGATAAGGGAAATATTAGAACAATGCCAAACAAAAGCATGCCAGCTAATCCACAGCCAACTCCAGGAGCCCTTTTGCTGGGTGACTCTTTCAATATGCGCCATCCTTTAACCGGCGGAGGAATGACTGTGGCACTTTCTGATATTGTTGTACTCAGGGATCTTCTTAAGCCTCTGCGGAACCTACATGATGCAGCTTCGTTGTGCACATACCTAGAATCCTTTTATACCTTGCGCAAGGTAAGCTCTGTTGCTCATGGGTGCCGGTTTAATATCGATGTGCAGAATCCTTTTATACTTTGCTAAATCGAACTGTTTCAATTCCGTTTCTTGTTTGGCTGCAAAACAATTGATTTCAAGGTTGCATTGCTTGTATTAGAGATGTTATTATCACATATTCATCCTACTGATATTTAGCGTTGTTTTCACAGCCGGTTGCATCTACGATAAATACCTTGGCAGGTGCCCTATACAAAGTGTTCTCTGCTCCCCTGATGAAGCAAGGACGGAGATGCGCCAAGCTTGTTTTGACTATCTAAGCCTTGGAGGTGCCTGTTCAACTGGACCAGTGGCTTTGCTCTCTGGTCTAAATCCTCGTCCGTTGAATTTAGTTCTTCATTTTTTTGCTGTGGCGGTATACGGTGTTGGTCGTTTGCTACTACCATTTCCTTCACCGAGACGCGTGTGGATTGGAGCTAGATTACTTTTGGTGGGTTTTTCTTTTCCCCTTTGCTTTCCTAGATGATTATAGAATGTTGAATCATGTTTTTCTTCCTGGCCTAAAATGACAAATGACTCATTTGATATCGATGACTTCTAATCAAACAACAGAATTTCATTATGTGAACGAAAATTGTACACCATGTGAAGCCATTTGGTTGGTTCTTACCAGTACCTTGGATCTCAAGGCAAAGCTTTATAAATGAACTTCCGTATAAGCTAGATAGTAGATACCTAATTTTCCAACTGAGCAGATCCTACGGCCGTCATAGTAGTATACATGATTTCAATCAGTTTCTCTGGTTCTTAACAAAGAGCGTTTTCTTTTTGTCAGAGTGCTTCTGGTATAATATTCCCATCATCAAGGCTGAAGGAGTGAGACAGATGTTCTTTCCAGCTACTATTCCAGCTTATCATAGAGCTCCTCCTGCCGAGTAAGCTACAGAAAATGATGGGGGAGGGCAAGGCAGTGGCATGCTTCAGACTTGTTGCTGTCAAGAGTCGAGATAAACCAGTCAGTACCTGCAAATTCTTTCTTGTTGACGATAGATAAAGAGGAAATCCAATTGTATTTTCCCTAATGAATTGTAACATTATTGCCAAATTTGTATATCTTATAGTGGTATGGCTAGAAAAAAGAAATGTAAAAGTATATGTGAGATGTTCGAATTGAAAACAATATGAAGAAATATACGTTACATATTTTGTGTTACATTCTGTGCATTATTTATAGATGAACACTGGACTAAGAGACGATGGGAAGAGTTGTCGGTTCAGCTTACCTTTTTACTGCTACGTCTTCATTCGTTGATCACGGAAGCATTAACTTCATCAATGGCAGTGCTGAGTGTCAAATAAAATGAATCTTGTAAGGCTTCCACTATGATTAGTACTTTAGAATGGCACGACGAGGCTTGGTTTGGTTTCCAGTCGACCCTGCATGTTTTTATGACTTAATCCAACTCAATCCAGGAATCTTCGGAACCCTTGTTCTGTTCATCAATTCTCTCACATTAGCTGCTTCTTCCCATTGACCAGCAGCTGCATAAATACTGGCCAGAAGCACGTAAACTGTCGGATTATTTTGTTCAGTTTCAAGGAGAAACCCAGCAACTGTTCGTCCTAGCCTTAAATTTCCATGTGCTGCACAAGAACTGATTAGTGTCCACCAAATGTTTGGATGTGCTTCAATTTGCTTGCTGTTTATTACAGTTTCTCGCCTCATCAAGATACCCAGCACGACCAAGAAGGTCAACTATACATGAAAAGTGATCAACTTCAGGTATAAAGCCATAATTATGAATCATGGAATTGAAAATTCGGGTACCATCAACAACTAGACCAGCATGGCTGCAAGCGGAAAGGACTGCCGTAAAGGTGGCCTTATCTGGTTTGACTGCAGATGCGTCTTGCATTGCCTCAAAACAGCGCACAGCTTCATTTCCTTGCCCATGCTGTGCATAAGCAGCTATCAGGGAATTCCAAGAGACTGTATCCTTTTGAGTCATTGCATTGAAAACTCTTACGGACCAATCTATAACGCCGCATTTAGCATACATGGTGATGAGGGCATTACCTAAGCACATCTGATGCGAAAACCCAAATTTGAGAATGTAGCCATGAACTTGTTTTCCGTCTTTCAATGCTGATGTGCTTGAACAAATGCTCAAAATAATACTCAAGGTACACACATCTGGCCTGTGTTCTGACATTAGTAGATTAGAAAATTGCTCTAGCCCTTCTTTTACCAATCCATTCAACAGGAATCCGGAAACAATAGCATTCCAGGAGATCAAATTTTTGGACTCGATATCTTCGAATACTGGATAGGCCAGATCAATCAGACCCAGCTTAGCATATGCAGATACCAATGCATTTGAAACGTAGATCTTAAGGATAAGCCCATTTTTGTGTGCAAGGGCTTGAACCATTTGCAAGATCTCAATCAACTCCGAGCTTGCTAACAAACTTCCAAAAGTAAACTCATCTGGTTTGACCCCTGCCCTCTGCATTTGCTGGTAGACCAAGATGGCTAATTTACTGTCATTCCCTTGAGCATAAGTCGAGATCATGGTGTTCCATGATATGAGATCCTTCTCCTCCAATGTCTGAAAAACCTGGTAAGCAGCATGCAAATCTCCACAACCAGAATACATGGTTATTGCTGCATTGCTCACAGAAGTAAAAGTTTCGAAACCCGACTTAACAGCTTGGGCAAGTACATGGTTGGCAACTCTTGCAGTTGAACATGAGGTCATGACACTTACAAAAGTCAGCTCGGTAGGCCTAAGACATGCCTCTTGCATCAATTTGAACATTTCCAAAGCTTCTTTATCTCTTTCGGCACTCACCAAACCATTTATCATCACATTAAAAGTAATCTGATCATATATTGCACCTTCCGCTTCTTCAAATAAATAAAATGCCTCTGAAACACTTCTGCAGTTAAAATACATAGTTATCAGAGCGTTAACAACAGAACTTCTACCCAAAAACCCGGTTTTAAGCACTAAAGAATGCACCTGCCTCCCAAAACCTAAGACCCCCAAACCACACAAACTCAAAACAGTAGCAAAACCATAATTATCATGCATAACACCCATCCTATGCATTTCACAAAAAAAATCAATAGCAACCTCATCAAACCCATTCTCTGCACACCCGGTAATCATTGCATTCCAAATCGCTACACTACCCTTTTGGGGCATTTTATCAAACACCTCACAGGCATAATCCACATGCCCCAATTTTGAACAAGCCGATAACAGCGTGGTCCACGAATAAACATCTGGGTTTTCAATCATGTCGAAAACCCATTTCACAGAAGTCAAGTCTTCGGCTTTCGCATAGAGCGAGAGCAGGGTGTTGGCTACGTGAGGGTAGGCTTTGAGGCCAGACTGGATGGCGTGGGCATGGAGTTGGGTTCCGAAAGCAAGGTCGCGGCAATTGGCGCAGGCGGTGACGGCCGAAGAGAGCGTGTAGTGGTCCGGTCTTACGGACGGAGAGGAGTGGATTTGGGTGAAAAGCTGGAGGGCCTCTGAGTAACGGTGCGAGCGAGTGAGGTTGGCGAGCGTTTGGTTCAGTTTGAGGATCTGCTTAGTGGCGACTTGGGTAAGGGTTTTTGTGGGTTCTTTGTAGAAGTGGAACTTCATCGATCTCTTGAATTTTGGGTATTTTCAGGGACTGCATTGGTAAAATCTGATGGTTTTTGCAGGTCTTGCTTGAAGAAGAAGCTTCAACCGTTGGTTCCCGCCATTCGGGCGTACGTTTAAACGCCGTTTAAGCTTCCTTTCATTTTAAAATTTTTAAATCGTTTCCCAGTATTTGTGCTTGCTTGAAGGTGATAAAGTTTAAAGTTCAATTCTCATTAATAACGATTATTCAGGTAAATTTTTTTTTATGTCAAAGCATCTAAAGATTCGTATAAAATAACATATATGTAAATATTGTTCCTTTTTTATATCATTTATCTACTTTTTAATGTACAAAATATTCCATGTATTCACAAAAAAAGGAAAATTTTAATTCATTTTTTAATCATAAATTATTCCAAATGTTTGCCGGCCTTCTTACTTTTATCTCTCACAATTGAAAATTGACCAATATCTTCGTCCACATTTGGCTCAGCATATCAATGTCAACCATGTCGTCAATTTGTCAAACTTTCAGTTCTACACCGGAACTAATGTTCTAAAAAGCGGGCTTAATCCAGTATCGTGTATTAAATCAGGAAGACCATTGAGCGGCGTCAGGCACACATCTGGGCGGGTTAGCGGCCTCGGCGATGTGGTAAAAAAAAGCCCTGTTGTGATACTGGCGACTCACAAAGAAAGAAACTTTTTGCAATTGTAGAGGTGGATGACGGGACGGCTGCTAGTTAGCAATAGTTCGGGTTTTTTATGCTCATATTTTTAGTCTAAATAGACATTTATTTATATGATAAATAATAAATTTATTTATATCCATTTGCCTAAGTTTCCATCTAGGAGCCTAAGCGCTAGGTCCCAACCTATTGTTCAACTAGTGTTAGCATCTTTTAAAACATTGACTAAGACAATATATTCGTTTTTGTTTAATCATATAATATTCCGAATGTTTGCCGGACTTCTTTCTTTTGTCCCTCATCACATTTGGAAATTCACCAATATCGTCCTCCACATTTGGCTTAACATATCCATGTCGTTAATTTAACAAACTTTCAGTTATATACTGGGACAATTTGCCAAACCATACCAATCAACCACCAATGAACAGTAAGTCAAATTTTATAGTTAGATAACAACTATTAATAATACCATTGTGATTAACGAAACATTAGGCATTCGATCAAGATTTTCATTTAATCCTATGTGTGCATCACTTGTAACTGGTAAATATTTCCTTTTAGACTTGATTTAAGTGCCAAATTAAAGGACATTTTACTCTTCCACATGCACACACATTGGTGAAATTAGACATATATGGAATGGAAAGTTCGATTTTGATCATAATGGATAATAAATTTAGGACTCGTTTGAGATTGCTTCTGTAAAAAGCACTTAGTAGTGCATCCTAAAAGCAGTTCCAACGGGAAACTGATAGGCCGGCACCCAGGCTTTGCACTCTAGCCATAGGCTGGCAGCCAGCCCAAGCTAGGCAAGAGATTGGCCCATAATCAACAAACCCATGAGACGGCCTACATGACGCAGGCTGACGTCAGTTACTTTTGTTTCTTTCTAATTTTTTGCGCCAGAGAGGGAATTGTTGTGGAGGCTAAGGAACAGAGTTGGTCGAGGCAGGAGAGGGTATCGAGAGGGAAAGAGCCACGAAGGGAGAAGGCAAATAGCTTGAACGTGATGGCTCGAGTTCGTCTGAAAATCTGAAGAAAAAAAAATGCATCGACAGCATGTTTGCATCAACGCAAAGGTTTCCAACACGATTTATAAGTTAGAAACCATAAGAATAGGATTGAGAACTTACCCAGGTGAAATGCAAGAGATTTCACCTAGAATTGGACCTTGAACTCGTTGGAGTTTGTCCGTTTTCCTTTGTTGAAATCACACGCAGGGAATTAAGCCCTCAAATTAACCACAAAAATTGCAACACAACTGGATTTAAAGCTCAAAAACACAATTCAGTGATAGAAACATCACTTGGGTTAGAGATTGAGATCTCAAGCTCTCGGCTTCAATGGTAAAACCTCGCACCATGCATTGATGCCGCATGCAAGGCCATGGTTAGGTTCCTTGCTCTAGGATCAAAAATATATTTGTATTTGATTGTGAATGTTTTAAGAAATTGAGACAGAGTCCCGTGAGCTTAAAAGGGCCGAAAATGATGTGAGAAAACGGGACAGTGACAAAGAAAAGACTACTTGTCGCCTAGTCGCTTATTTTAGTCTTAGTGGTCGTTTTGTGTGGTGTTGGAGATTGGGCACTACACTCACACTATCACTCTCCTAACCCGCTGTCCATTTCGCTGTACTCTCTCTCCCGAGCCCCCTTTCCTCCCATTTCCCCTGAAAACGTACGGACATACACCAAAACCATTCAAACACCCACAAATCGAAGGAACCAAGTACATATTCGAGCTCGTGAGGCTCGTGCGAGTGTAACCATACCATTTTCAGGTGAGAACTCTATCGTTTTCACGTCGATTCGAAGTTGTCCGATTTGAGTACTATTCATGCAAACGTAAATTCTCACATTTTAGGGGAAATGAAGCTCGTAGGTAGCTTGGTGAGGTCCCAAGGAGTCTCAGAGTAGTTCGTTTGAAGGATTTGGACGTCGGGATCACCGTGTTCGAAGTTGGTCAATTTTGGATTGTGTGGATAGGTGAGATCTCGTAGTTTTTAACCCTTAAAAGTGGTATATCGTTGTTCTCCTAGTTCTAGGCGTCATTTTGGTACAAAAATCGTGAAAATTGGATGAAAAACGAACGAGATATTGAAGTTTTAAAATTTCCCAGTTTTCCGGCGCCGGCGACGGCACCGGAGGCTCGCCGGAGAAGGTGACGGAATATTCCTAACGCCGTTAACGGAATCTGTCAAAACTGACGGAATATTCCTAACGGCGTCAGTTGACGCCGTCAGCGTGCCAGGCACGTGCCTGCGCGTGGCCGGCGCGTGTGGGCGCGTGCGGCGGTGGAAAATTTTTCTAAAAATTTAGGTGTGATCCTGAGGTTGTGTAGAGCACGTTGGTATATTCAATTGTCCATTTTGAGCAATGTATGAGAAGTTATTATGAAAGGAAGGTTATGTGCTTTAAAATTAACGTTTTTATAGTATTTTCGCATATAGGTGAGACATATCTCGAGGACGAGGGTGGTCACTCGAGGCTGGGGGGCTACGACCCTTCCACATACCAGTGAGTGGGCTTTTGGTTTTCCGTATATACCTATATACTTATAATTCCCAGAAATTTAAATAAATGTTTATTAGTTATATGCCATTCCTTTTATATGGTTGGTTATTATGCATGATTAGTCGCATATATGTTTTTTTATATATTCTTTTATATGCTCATATATATATTGTGGTGTTGTGGATGCACAGGTAAGTGCCAGATAAGCGTTATCTAATATTTGCATTCAATAGTGATTAGAGATGCTTAGAGAGCTCATAACCTGCACCCCCGGTGTTAGTGCTCCCGCCCAGAGTAGGGGACAGACTTTTACGTGTTGTTCACCTCCCGCACCATACGCTCAGCTTGGATCCAAGTTAGGTGCACAATCTTGTTGTACAGACCACTTTAGGTGGTTCCGACTCGTAGGTGACCCGCGATTATTCGCACAGTCTTCACGTGATGGTAGCACTAGAGCGTTTATATGTATTACACCCAGGCCTGTCGTACAGACCACTTTAGGTGGTTCCGACTCGTGGGCAGGTTTAGTTGTTGTGATTGAGATTTGAGCTCTAGATTCAGCCGTACAGGTCACTTTAGATGACTTCGGCTGCCAGTTATATGTTATTGATGTGATTCACACCTGAGCACTTGCATTTCATCGTGAGATTTGGTATGGCATATTCTTGAGCATGATTGGCATATATCTATATATATATATATATATGTACGTACATATGTTTCATTTCTGGGAAGTATACAGGTTTTACGGCGAGGGGTTAGAATCTTGCTTTTGAAATGGTTTTGAAAAACTTTGTTTTTGCCCACTCACGCTTTTGTTTGCGCCCTCCAGGTTCTAGCTGTTCAGTTGGTTTGGTGGTTCCCCAGAGGGCTTCCCGGCATTTCTGACAGACGATCACCAGTGTATGTTCACCTTCGGGTGCACTGTTGTAACGCTATTTTAGTTTGGACTGCTTAGGGTTTTCTGTTCTGAATTTGTGTCTCACTTACGCTAGCACTTATTACTTTGACCTTATGTAGGCTAGTTTTTACTTATTCGTACTTTTACATTACTACTTTATTAGCTTCCGCACTGTGCACTTGGCTACACCACTTCCATGTGACGGCTAGCACGCCCTGATCTTGGTCGGGGTGTGCCAAAAATAATATTTTGTGTTTGATTTGTTGAAGGTTTTGAAGAGGAAGGAGAATGAGAGCTCACGGGAGTGAGCTGGAAAAGAGAAAAACAGGGAGAGAAAATAGATAGAGAGAGAGAGGGAAAGAGAGAGAGAGAGAGAGAGAGAGAGAGAGAGAGAAAAGAGAGAGAACTAGTCAAATGAGGGGAAAAGGTCATTATTTTAAAGGTCGAATTGGAGATGCATTTTATTTAATCATATTTTAATAAAATGAACTAGGCTATTTTTTGTTAGGGATGGAGATACATTTGCCTATTACTGTTTATTAGGGTCTATCACTGTTCACTGAGTGAATAAATGCGCTAGGTGCTGACGCATTTTGTGTTAGGGGTGGAACTGCTATAAAGAAACACATAGAGGTTATTCTACAACCCAAAAGCGCTTCTTAAAATTTTCTTGCAAACTTGGTAAAAAACGATTTTTTTATTTTAACAAACGATGTTATTTACATTAAGGAAATGAGGGAATGAACTAAGCTTCACAATGGGCTAGCAATAATGTGATTCAAATTTGCTTTTGGCGAGACTTGAACCACTTACCAGTAAAGAAAAAATAATTTTTATTGTAAAAAAAAAAAAGGAAGTGTTATTGGCACTCCAAAAATCTCATTCTACACTCATCACAAGTGTATTTTTCTTTCCAAATATAAAAAATTTGGAGTGTAGAAAGAGATTTTTAGAATACCAATAACAATTCTCAAAAAAAAAAAAAAACACTTGTATCCCTAATGGAATAAATCCCAAAGAGGTCTTTAACGACCAAGTCTTATTTTATTTCGAATACAATAATATTAAAGGAAAACTAATGAAAATGACTTGAAAACTTTGAGTTTTAATGATAAGGACAAAATAAGGGTAAAGTGAATAATACCAGGATTGGCTTTTTAGTGTAAAAATGTGATTTTTCGTTAAAGTGAACAATACCTTGATTTTTTTGTTAAAACTCCCTAATATTAAGGGTGAGGAGTGAGGCAAAACAATATAGACCAACAATAATTTGGTATTCAACTTGCTATTATATAAGTTAAATTTAAGACTTTCTACTTACAAACAGGACAAATATCACTAAACGTCAAACTTATATTTTGAAAAAGGGTGCTATTGACCTTATGTGTGACATCCCACATCGCCCAGGGAAGTGATCCTTATATGTATATTCCTATCCCTACCTAGCACGAGGCCTTTTGGGAGCTCACTGGCTTCGGGTTCCGTAGGAACTCCGAAGTTAAACGAGAAGGGGGCTAGAGCAATCCCATGATGGGTGACCCACTGGGAAGTTGCTCTTGAGTTCCCAAAAACAAAAAGGGGGCTAGAGCAATCCCATGATGGGTGACCCACTGGGAAGTTGCTCTTGAGTTCCCAAAAACAAAAACGTGAGGGAATGGTAAGCCCAAAGTGGACAAATCGTGCTACGGTGGAGTCGGGCCAGGGAAGTGATAATTTGGTATCAGAGCCTAACCCTGGTCGTGGTGTGCCGACGAGGTCGTCGGGCTCCTAAGGGGGGGTGGATTGTGACTCCCCAAGTCTCGGGGATGATCCTTTTTTTTATTTTCCCATCCATTTAGCACGAGGCTTTTGGGGCTCACTGACTTTTGAGGAACCAAGTTTAGTGAGGAGAGCTAGAGAATTAGATGGTGACCCTGGGAAGTGATTGTGATCCTACAAATAACAAAACCGTGAGGGAATTGTCGCCCAAACGGCATACCAGGTACTTGAACGATGCCGGGAAAAATGTCCCAGACGATGTGACTTCTGTACTTATTCTTTTCTTCTAGGTAATTTTAAATGAATTTGCTTTGGGTTAAATAAAATAAAACGTTTAAAAGAAAAAACAGAAGGCAAACAGCTGAAATTATTAACAATCACAAATATTTTTTTTCTGTTTCAATAAAATTTTCATCGTAAGGAAGTTTTTCAAAAAAAAATTTAGATTATTCACACTACAGAATAAAAAGAGAAAAACAAAAAAAACAAATACAAGAAATGATCAAATTAGAACATGTAATTGACCTAATGCCAAACGCACCGTTTAAGGAAAAAAAGCTTCACAAGAACAGCCATGGTGATACGAGAGAGTTGAGTTGAGTTGAGTTGAGTTGAGTTGGGTTGGTTGCAGAACCGGATTAATATGCTAGAGATTGTATCAGCAAACCAAATCTCTCTGCACCAAACACCATCATCTCTCGCATTCCTTCAAACCAAACGCCCCCTCAAACCTTTTCCACACGAATCACAAACCCACCAAGCAAACCCACAAACCCCATGCCTTCACCGAGAGAAGATCCGGCCTCGGGCTGGCCCGCCTCGACACCGACGCGGATACATCCCCAGACGACCCGACCCACTGCGAGTTCTCCGCCGACGTCGAGAAGATTTACAGAATACTACGGAAATTCCACTCCAGGGTCCCGAAATTGGAGCTCGCTCTGCACCAATGCGGCGTCGTTCTGAGGTCGGGGTTAACGGAGCGGGTGCTGAACCGGTGCGGCGACGCCGGGAACCTCGGGTATAGGTTCTTCGTGTGGGCTGCGCAGCAGCCGAATTACAGACCCAGTTACGAGGTGTATAAGGCCATGATTAAAAGCTTGAGCAAAATGCGCCAATTCGGCGCCGTTTGGGCGCTGCTTGAGAGATGAGGAGGGAGAATCCGCAGCTGATTACCCAGGAAGTTTTTGTGGTTCTGATGCGGCGGTTCGCGGCGGCGAGGATGGTGAAGAAAGCAGTTGAGGTGCTCGACGAAATGCCGAAGTATGGGTGCGAACCCGATGAGTATGTTTTCGGGTGTTTGTTGGATGCCTTGTGTAAAAATGGTAGTGTTAAGGATGCAGCTTCATTGTTTGAGGATATGCGTGTGAGGTTTACTCCGAGTATTAAGCATTTTACGTCGTTGTTGTATGGTTGGTGTCGAGAAGGGAAGCTCATGGAGGCGAAATTCGTGTTGGTGCAGATGAGGGAAGCCGGTTTTGAGCCTGACATTGTGGTGTATAACACATTGCTGAGCGGGTACTCTCAGGCTGGGAAGATGGTTGATGCCAATGAGCTCTTGAAGGAGATGAGGAGGAAGGGTTGTGAGCCCAATGCAGCTTCGTACACGACTGTGATTCAGGCGCTTTGCAGTCGAGAAAAGATGGAGGAGGCAATGAGGGTGTTTGTGGAGATGCAGAGGAGTGGTTGTGAGGCCGATGTTGTGACTTACACTACTTTGATTAGTGGGTTTTGTAAGTGGGGAAAGATTGAGAGGAGTTACGAGATTTTGGATGGTATGATACAGAAAGGGTTTTTGCCGAATCAGATGACTTACATGTATATTATGTTAGCTCATGAGAAGAAGGAAGAGCTGGAGGAGTGTGTGGAATTGATGGAGGAGATGAGAAAGATCGGTTGTAGTCCTGATCTTGGTATTTACAACACGGTGATCCGGTTGGCGTGCAAATTGGGGGAGGTGACAGAAGGTGTTCGACTTTGGAACGAAATGGAAGCAGCTGGGTTTAGTCCCGGGCTTGACACCTTTGTCATTATGATTCATGGGTTTCTTGGGCAAGGCTGTTTATTCGATGCTTGTGATTATTTTAAAGAAATGGTCGGCAGAGGTCTTCTGTCTGGCCCACAATATGGTACCTTGAAGGAGCTGATGAATGCTTTGTTGAGAGACGAGAAGCTAGAAATGGCAAAAGATGTTTGGAGTTGCATTGTGACCAAAGGATGTGATCTCAATGTGTTTGCATGGACAATTTGGATTCATGCGCTGTTTTCAAAGGGGCATGTGAAGGAGGCTTGTTCCTACTGTTTGGACATGATGGAGGCGGATGTAATGCCGCAGCCAGATACTTTCGCGAAGCTCATGCGCGGTTTAAGGAAACTATATAACCGACAGATAGCAGCTGAGATCACAGAGAAGGTGAGGAAGATGGCTGCAGATAGACAAATCACTTTCAAGATGTATAAAAGGCGAGGAGAGCGGGACTTGAAGGAAAAGGTAAAGGAGAAAAATGATGGGAGGAAACGGAGGGCCCGAAGAAGAAGTTGGCCTAGTAAATCTAAATCTTTGTAGTTTGAACGAGAAGGTGTGAAATATATGGATCCAATGATCGCTCCCAAATCACAGAGATCGATCGGCCATCATTACATGAGAAATGGCAGCCATTTCTTTTCGGCTCCAATGTCTATCTCATCACAGAATGGGATACAACCGGTTACATCTAAGATTTTCTCATTGTACGAGCTTAATTCTGCCACATTTTGGCGTCTCTCGGAACAAAATATTTGGTGCATGAATATATCGAAGCTGATTTGATTTAAACTTTATACTAAACGAAAGGTACTTTTTATTCCATTAGCAAGACATGTTACACAAGGTAAGGCGCTAGCTCAAGGGCTTAATTTGGTTGACTTCTCAACCATCCTTCTTGGTCTATGAAAGAAGCTGGATTTGTGAAATATGCCACTTCTTCATCTGATAGCTTCTTCTCCCATGGGACACGACCCGACAAATTGGCTCCAGGCCCTTGACAATTTGCCTCCGAGAATGCAACCGAATCCCTGTTCAATATCGTAAAAGGAGAACACTGAGACAGTTAAATTGTAATCTGACATATCAGGTTTTTAGTTGAAGTGATTAAGAGCGTTCATCTCTGCACCCGAGATCCTGTATTGAAACAAAAACGGAGATAGACTTACACAGGAGCAGGCGGCCATGGGGACCAACCCTCAGGGGTGATGATATTTTCCATGAAGGTGGAGGCAAACAATACTCTCGAATAAGGTCTCCACGGTCTTCCTAAAAATGTAGTACCTGTTCCGTTTACATAGCAATCTTTGAACACAAAACCAGTTGTTTCGTTTGCGGCTCTACGGCCTTGTGCTGTAATAAAACCAGTAAACCCTATTCGATCTGTTATCGAAAATATCTGGCATTTCTGCAAACAAATGTGTCATGTAATCGAGTGTAAATACACGAACATTGTGCTAAAGATCAGTAGCGCTAGGCTCAGTCATGTAGAAATGTAAGTCACGATGAACCGTTTCATGTGGGATCGTGTAGACAACTGAGCCGGCCTAGCGCATCTCTGGCTAAAATAATGAGAGAGAGAGAGGGAGAGAGAGAGAGAGAGAGGATTTTTAACCTTATAGATTGACTGGCCATTGCCCCAAATGAAGTCTATAGCCCCTTCAATAAAGCAATCGTAAAAATAGTGACGGCCACCATCATCAGTCAATGTATCTTGCAAGCTAATAAAACTGCAGTGGTGAAAACTTGCTTTGTCTGCAGAGATTAAGATTGCAGGCGCCCACGTAGTTTTGCTTCCATTCGGATCCGGCAAGATAAGATGGTCATATGAATTCTGTTAATTAGAACCAGAATTACAAACTTAAAATGCTTAACCCTGAATTTATCTTAGTGTGTGTGTGTGTATAACATTCAATATATATATATATATATATATATATATAACATTCAATCTTAGATGCTTAACCTTGAATATTATACTTCGCGCCACAAAATTATCTGCGAACAACTTGAATGTAGGACTGCCAATGACACTGCCTGCATCTCCGTATTCGATTGTAGCGGGAAATTTAGGGTCTCCTTCAAGAACGATGTATGGTTTCTCCTTTGGAATCATAACTTTTTCCCTACATATAAGAATTTCATATACATAGTTAGTTTTGATTTTAATGTGTAGCTTGAAAATAAATTAAAAAGAATACTTCTTACGTATACACATCAGGTTTAAGAAGGATACGAATCCACAGAGAGTTATTTGGTGGTACAGAATCGATGGCTTGTTGCACTGTGGTAAAATTTCCTCGACCGCTCTTATCGACTATGATGGTACTTGAAACATCGTTTTCCAAAGCGTTTTTCGTTGCTTTGTACCGTCCCCCCAATGTTGAACCGAAGAGAAGGAGGAGGGAAAATATTGTTGATATAAGAGACTCCATACCAGAACACTGCAAGGTAATTAAGTTTAGGAACAATGAGAGCCTACTACAGTTTTCTTGGGATAAGAAGAAGAAACTCTTCTGATATGTAGAAGGATAAAAATGTTCAAGTGCTGTGTGTGTACAACTAAGTGTTTGGCTGACAGATTTGGTTAACTGAGCGCAATGAATCTGCAATTCTTAATTTGGAAAAATATTTATCATTGAGAGAGAAAGATGACAACATTTTTATTAATTTTGCTGTTATATTTTACTGGCCTGAGCCTAAAAATTAAAGGGTGTTTAGCAGCAATAATTCTTTTTTGGGCAATAGTTGCACTGTGTTTCCACTTTTATAAAATAGAAAACTAGATTTTAATCCTTAAATAAGATGAAATTTAGACAAATGTCTTATACAAGATTAAAAATTGATTTTAATCCCTACACTCTATTTAATGCCAGTATATGTATTAATGTCTTTTTTTTATTTACAATTTTATGGTGTTCATAAATAAAATTTTAAGATTATATTATAAATTTTAATTCTCATTATAGTAAGTATCTTATAAGAAAATATTTTCATAGAGATTTTTCGGTACACTTATATTTTTGCATACTGTCTTATGCACCATTAATTCTTTGTAATATATTTAGGTACGAACATTTCGATATGCTAGTTTAGTATAATATGTTTAGGTACGAACATTTTAGTACACTAGTTTAGTATAATATATTTAGATACGGACATTCGGTACACTACTTTAGTATAATATATTTAGGTACGGATATTTTGGTACACTAGTTTAGTATCATATATTAAGTACGGATATTTCGGTACACTAGTTTAGTATCATATATTTAGGTACGGAATTTTCAGTACACTTATGTTTTTGCATATTTTCTTATGTGCCACTAATTCACTACAATGTATTTAGGTACTACAATATATTTAGGTACAGATATTTTGGTACACTAATTTAGTAAAATATATTATGATATGGACATTTAGGTACACTAATTAGAAGAAGTTAAATAAAATTAATGAATTAAAATGTGTATAATAATAAATTTAAAATTTAATCTAATGACATTAAATAAGATATCTTATAAATATTAAAATAAACATATAATATAAATTTGAATTAAGTACACATTAAGGGACTAAAATTAATATTCAATATAACCCCAGGTTTTTATTAAATTTTAATATTCTTCAAGGATTAAAGTTCAAAAACCGGAGGGCTTGAGCCAACAAATATTTAACCAAAAATCATCCCAAAATGTATTTAACCAAAATAGCTCAAAGTTTAATAAAAAAGCCATCCAAAACTATTGTCCACGGGCCAACAAATATTCTACTAAGTCCATGCACCACCATAAGGACCAAAACTATTGGCACTATCTTGGGAATGTCTACGCCTCCTCATCTTCTTTTTCCCTTTGTCTTTCCTTGAGCCACTTTCCTCGTGCCTGTTCTTCTCTCGCCTTGAGCCATTTTCTTCATATATGATCTTCTTCCCACCTCCCATCTTCTTCCCCTCCCCCCCCCCCCCCAAAAAAAAAAATCCAACCCCCTACAACCCAGAAAGAAGAAGAAGGAGGAGGAGGAAGAAGGAGGAGGAGGAAGAAGAAGAAGAAAAAGAAGAAGAAGAAAAAGAAGAAGAAGAAAAAGAAGAAGAAGAAAAAAACCCAGGTCTCGTTCGCCAGGCCGTGAAGAGGAGGGAAAAGGGTGGGTGTGCGGTTGGGTGTGGATGGTGGGTGCGGGGGAAGACAATTGGTTTTTCTTTTCTTTTTCTGGGTTGCAGCAGATAAGGGGAAGAAGAGAGGAAGAAGATTAGATGGGGGAGAAGAGAGAGGGCGCGGGGTGAAGGGACAAAGTTTGTGTATATATTTTTTTTCTTTCTTTTTCCTGGGTTGCAGCAAGTAGGAAGAAGAGGAAAGGAGATGAAGATAAGGGAGAAGAGAAAGGGCACGTGGGGGGGGGTAGTTTTGTTGTTTTTTTTTTTTTTTTTTTTCCTTTTTTCTAGGTTGCAGCAGTATAGGGGAAGAAGAGGAAAGAAGATGAAGATGGGGGAGAAGAGAGAGGGCACGCCGGGGGGTGGGGAGAGGAGCAAAGTTTTGTTTTTTATTTTGTATTTTTTCTTTGTCGCAGCAGGTAGGAAGAAGAGGAAGGGAGATGAAGATGAGGGAGAAGAGAGGGGGCGCACAAAGGGGAAGTTTTGTTTTATTTTATTTAACTTTTCTTTATTATTTTAATATTTAAAAAATATTAAATGATTTTTTTTAGTTTTTAATAATATTTTAATAGAAAGTGGGTCCTGAATCAAGCCATGTCAGCATTTAACTGAGAAATTAACAAAAAAACTGATTGAGGTATGACATTGGCGCAAATTCGTAAGATGAGGTATGACATTATCATTTTAAAAAGATGAGGTATGAAAGTATCGTGAGACCAATAGTTGAGGTAGTTTTTTGTACTTTACCCTATATTATATTAACAGTGTACATAGAAACATAATATAGTAAAATCTTAATAATATTCTGGTGGTGGTGGCGGGGGATATGGTGCAATAGCATCTTGATCCTTAACTCCTCAACTTCCACCTTCAAAGTCCCGACGATTCCCTGCGAAAACAAGCATGGTCAAATAACCAAGAACCAACATAAAATTATAAAAAAAAATTGGTGGAACTTTCCCTAAAAATATAACATTCATCATAAGTTTTGAACATTTATATCAATTTATTTCAAGCAACCAACCAACATTTACAAGAACAACCAAATTATAATCAAAACTTAATTCTACTAAGCAACTATCCTTTGAAACAAAAAACTTACGTAGAACCCAACCCTTCAAGGCCACAGCCGACCCCCGAAGCCAACTCAACCCAACCCGAGAGCCCACCCCCAAACCCCAACCTAAAGCCTACACCCACCCCACCCCCACCCAAAATCCAACCCTAAACTCCACCCATCACCTTATACCCGACCCCAAACCCTACCCCTAAACTCAAAATCAACTCAAAAAAATCATATTAATGGAAAAAAATTAAAATTTAGGGAGAAAATACTTTTTGGCGAGATTGAGAGTGAGTGAGAGATAGAGATAGAAGAGATTGTGCGAGAGAGAGATAGTGAGGTGTGAAAGAGAGAGGGAGAGTGAGTTAGTGAGAGTGAGAGATAGAGAGATTGAGTGTGAGTGAGAGGAGATAGTGAGTGTGATAGAGAATGATAGAGAGGGAGATGGTCAGATTTGGAGAGAGGGAAAGAAATAGGAAATGTGAGAGAATAGAGAAATACATTGAGAAAATTGTGGAGGAGTTAATTGGCAAACTATAAATGTTGGTTGCACTATATGTGTAAATATTAATCATTAATTAATTGAATTACATTTTATCACCTATACGTACTAGAGTTTTGTAAATCAGAATTAGAATTACATCATCCATGATATTAGAATTTCATCGTAGAAAGTGTTTAAAATAATAAAATAATTTTCGTTTGCAATTTAACATGTAAAATTAAATAAGAAAGAAAATAAATAGAGCTTACGGACGAAATATTACGATATTGTCGCTCAAACTTAAAAAAAAAAAAAAAGAATAATTCATTTCTAAATTTAAAATATAAATTAATAAAAAATAAAAGGTTTTCAAAAAATAAAATAGGAAATGATTTTTTTTTTTTGCAATTTAAAATATAAAATCAAACAAAAAAGAAAATAAATAGGACTTAGGCCACATAATATTGGGATGTCATAGCGCAAAGGTTTTGGAAAAAAAAAAATTAAAATGGGTAATGATTATCGTTTATAATTTAAAATATAAAATGAAATAAAAAAGAAAATAAATAGGATTTCATGGCCCAAGTTTTTTCAAAAAAGAAAAAGAAAAAAGAAAAAATATTTTTACAATTTGAGAAACACAAAATAAATAGGGTTTAGGCGACGAAGTATATATCGCTGCACAAAGTACTTTTTCTAAGAAATAAGAAAAGGAAAAAATATTTTTACTATTAATATAAAAAATAAATACAAAGAAAATAAAAGGGTTTATGCAGCGAAATGTTGGTATTTTCTTAATCAATTCAAAGTATAAAATGAAACAAAAAAGAAAATAAAAATAAGGCTTAGGTGACAAAATATTGGGAATCCATTGAGCAAAATCATGTTATTAAGTGAAAGGCTAAAACTAAGACAACGTTAACCAATGGTTAACAATTTTTGGTTTGGATAATTTGTTGCTCTATATTATGTTAAGCATCTACCGAACATAGATATGTCAAATAGATTCAATTGTGCTATATTACGCTAATGCTGATAAGATGATATTATTGGTGCTCAAGCTTGGCCAAGCTCCTAAAACATATAACCAAACTCAGCTCCTTGGTAAATCGAACTTGAGCTTTTGCTTGGCATGGTTGAGCTTGTTTTTTAAACTAGCTCAAATTATGTTTAACTCGACTTAATGAAAATTGAAAGTTAATAAAATAAATAGGGTTAATTACAAAAAACTACCTCAAGTATGGGTCAAATGACACTTTCATACCTCATCTTTTAAAATTGACAATGTCATACCTCATCTTACGAATTTGTGTCAATGTTATACCTTCTGTTAATTGGCCGTTTATTTCTCAGTTAAATGCTGACGTGGCTTGATCCGGGACCCATTTTTATTAAAAAATTAATAAAAAAATTATTAAAACAAAAAAAAATCATTTAATATTATTTAAATATTAAAATAATAATAAAAAGTACATAAAAAATTAAAAACATTAGACATCATCTTCCCTCTCCTTTGTGCATCTCCCCCCTCTCTCTTCCCATCATCTCCTGCAACCCAGCAACCCAGCAACCCAGAAAAGAAGAAGGAGAAAGAAGAAGAAGAAGAAGAGAAAAAAAAAAAAAAAAAACCCAAACCAAACCAAACCCAGTTCATCCCCCCTCCCCCCACCACAAACTCAACCCCCTGCAACCTAGAAAGGAGCAGGAAGAAGAAGGAAACACAAAAAAAAAAAAAAAA